TGTAATGATGATGTCATCGTTCAGGTTATTAATAATGATTTTTTTGTTGATGACCTTATTACAGGCCATGATGACACTGTACGCCTTATTTGAGTGGTCGATGTTTAAAGCAACTTGCATTGGAATGTAATGATGACGTCATCGTTCAGGTTATTAATAATGATTTTTTTGTTGATGACCTTATTACAGGCCATGATGACACTGTACGCCTTATTTGAGTGGTCGATGTTTAAAGCAACTTGCATTGGAATGTAATGATGACGTCATCGTTCAGGTTATTAATAATGATTTTTTTGTTGATGACCTTATTGCAGGCCATGATGACAAACACTTGACTTTGATGGATATATGCAGCAAAGTATCGAATGTATTAAGATCTGGTTGCTTTCCTTTGAGGAAATGGTTATTCAATTTTCCGACCTCACAAACAAACTCGCTACATCCATCAAAGGAATTGTCGTTAAATGATAACTGCCACACTAAAACCCTAGGATTAGGGTGGTTTTACATGTCAGATGAATTACATTTTAGTTCTAGATGTAAGCATAGTCGAATTAATGTAACTAAACGTAATATTCTTTCAATTATTGCACAAATATACGATCCGTTGGGTCTGCTTACCCCAACTATTATTATCGCTAAAATCATTCTACAAAAATTATGGTTATCTAAAATAGGTTGGGATGATCCTGTTCCTAAATCAATCTTATCAGATTGATATTTATTTATTGAAAAATTAAACTATTTACATATTTTACGCGTTCCACGTTACGTTATAGGTGAGGATACTCAGACACGCGAATTACACATTTTTTGTGACGCCTCACAAGGTGCCTACGGCGCTTGTGCGTATCTGCGTAGTTATACAGATATAATGATAACAGTAAATTTGTTGTGTGCGAAGAGTAAAGTCGCTCCCGTGAAACCGGTTAGCATACCATACTTAGAATTATGCGGCGCTGTATTGGCTGCAAGATTATATGCAAAAATTATCAATTCATTAAGATTAAGGCTCAAAATTAATCAGATATTAAGGAGTTTACAGCTAATAATTCAATAAAGTTTTCATTTATTCCGCCTTACTCGCCTCACTTTGGTGGTTTGTGGGAGGCGGGTGGGTGGGAGGGAGGGAGTTAAGTCTTGCAAATTTCACTTGCATCGTGTTGTAGGCAATGCACACCTTACTTACGAGGAGTTGAGTACGATGTTAGCACAAATTGAAGCTGTCCTCAACTCCCGACCAATGACACATATGTCCACAGACCCTAATGATTTCCTTCCTCTCTGCCCTGCTCATTTCCTGATAGGCCGTCCGCTCACTGCACCAGCCAGCCAAGACCTCACGGCGACAGCTGCACAACGCCTTCCTCGCTATGATCGTGTGGAGCAGATGCGACAGCATTTTTGGAAGAGGTGGTCCAAGGAGTATATTACTGAACTTCAGAAGAGAACGAAGTGGCAAACCAATCAGGACAACATCGCCTCTAATGCTCTTGTTCTGATTAAGGAAGACAATCTGCCTCCCTTGAAGTGGCGGCTGGGACGGGTGCTGGAGACTTTCACTGGAAAGGATGGAATCTCACGCGTCGCCAACATCAAAACAGCGGCGGGCGTAATCCGTGGATCATTCGCAAAAATCTGTCCACTGCTGAGTCCTGACGAAGAACACACCTGCGACTCATCGACCCCTTTGGAACCAGGTGCTTCCAATGCCGGGGGCATGTTAAGAACGTCTAGCGCCATCTAGGACCTTGGGAAGGAACTGAGGGGATTGAAGATTAAACCGGAAGTACCGCTCTTTTGATTGTATTTGGTTCGTTACTTTTTGAAATGTCAACGATCACTTATATATATAGATCCCACTTGTAACGAGGACACTTACCATATGAATTTTGTCTGTACTACTTACCTTAAATCTACGCATTTATATAATACTAGCTGATCCGGCAAACGTTGTATTGCAACAAAAAAAAAATTAGGGATGGGTCACCCTTACCATTCAAAATTGTGAATCTAAACCATTCCCAGATCCCCTTGAACACACACAAAAAATTTCATCAAAATCGGTCCAGTCGTTTGAGAGAAGTTCAGTGACATACACACTCACAGAAGAATTATATATATAAAGATATAAAAAATAAAGGAATTCATTGAAGAAAGCCCTACCGACCTAAATATTCACCAGAAGAACATACACAAATTGACATAAAGTTTGGTCGGCCGTCCACGTAATCCTGGAATGCGAGGGAGTGGCCACACAACGGGCAAGTATCATTCCCGATATAAAGTCGCTCCTAGAAGCCTGTGAACGCCCCAGGAGGCTTCTGCGCTTCTGGTAGGAGCTTGGCTGGCTCACCTAGTCAACCAATCCTCGACGCGTAAAGGACCACTCTGAGTCTAAATGCGGAAACCGAAGCCCGCAACCAATACCAATACCCAGACTCAGAACAAAATTTTTTGGGTCACCTAAAGAGTTTCCCATGTGGGGATCGAACCCACAACACTCAGCGCAGTAGGAAGCGGTGAGGTGACCGCTTAAACCACTACGCCATCCGTGCAGTCATTATGGAGCATTATAGCTTCACAAAAAGAGACCACAGCGCCCCAGCCCTCCTCACCCGTCAGCATGGCAGCAATTATTGCTGGCGAGGATAGGTCTCGTCCGAATACAACTCAAACTTAGCAATAACGAAAGCGGGCGCTGTCCACTGCCAATAGGTTCCAACGACTCTTCTGTTAGAATTTATATCCATAAGATGTTCTTTGAATTATTTTAGTACATTACGTTACATTCACTATGCCCATAAGACTAAACTTATAACTACTACAATATAGTGTAAGATGTTTTCATCTGATGAAACAAGGAAAATTGCCTATTGTTGTCAATACTAGTAGCCAAACAGGTACATTTTAGAAGGTACATATTTAACCTTCGAAAATGTACCTGTTCCCGGTAAATGATTGACCATGAAAATTAAAATATGGAAAAAGAATCGAGAAATTTGGTAAGAGAGAATGGTCTTTATGACCTGTATGCCGTCGCTACATCCGTGCCTTTGAATTGCTTAAAAAACAGCCATTACCTAGGCCCTCATTTTGTTTCTATCCATTGCAGAGGCTTACGAACATATTTTTTTTATTAATCCATTAGGATGGCGAGCTTTTTGGGTGATATAAAAATATTGATCACCTGCCTAGCTCAACTTATAGTTATGTTATTATAACATCGATTTTGTTCATTTCTGGCAGGTCAGAAAATTGGAACTAGTAACGATAAATTCGTGAAATTTCAGTGATATTACGGTAAAATGTTTATATTTTGATGTTAATACTGGTTAAGGAATAAAGTAATGCATACTTCATTTCCTACATCTTTGAGAGCAAAAATTACCCAATCTAGTGGTCTTGATTCTGTCATATATGGTATCTATCGAAAGAGTTGGTTTTGTTTGCGTTTTGTGATAACGATATTTTAGTTCAAGAACACAAAATAGTAAAATCACTCAAAATTGAAGACAGAAGATTGCTAATAAGAATAGAATAGGATGTTAAACAAATCCAAAAAAAGTTAAAAATTTCGTGAGTAGTAATTCTTTTCGATTCTTCTGCATCCTGGATAACTTATCACATGTATTTATTTATTTTATATAGGCACACAAAACAGAAACATAACACAATACTCAGTCTTATAAATAGCTAACACGAAAAGTTTCGTTCTTAGCTATGGCCTAAATATGTGCACACAACATGGCAATATAGGTGATACAAGACCAGATTACATGCAACTTAAAAGTTAAATATTAAAAGAAAACTAATTGTAAAATTTAAAATGTATGACAAATAAGACCAACGTTGATGACATAATAAGCTTAACATTGTTTTTAACCTACTACGGAAAACCACCCCTCGTGTTATAAGTTTAACCAGTGCATCTTTCTGTCTGTCTGTGGCATCCTAGCTCCCGAACGGATAGACCAATTTCGATGCGGATTTGAAGCCGATATGATTGCTTAGTTCTTAGCTTTAAATTTTGATCATCAGCTCACTTCCTAGGTGATGAAGGAATTTCGCTAAAATCCAATACAATTATTTTTGTGTTGGGGGTTTTTAATTTATTCATTTAATTGTTATTGAATTTACTAAACCTTTAATTAAATATATCTATTATGTCCAAAGGTTGGGTGAATATTATTTAATTCATTAATCCATAAATAATATATAATTATAGAGACGACACATTATTCTAACAATGGGATTATAATATTAGGGGTTAAAATCTTTGTTTCCGTAACTCATCATCAGATCTATATGAAATTTAAATGAAAATAGAAGAAATACTTTGAAAATTCGTCTATATATGACAGAGTTGTGCCCGAACATACATAAAAAAATATAAACATCCGAATTGATAACCTCCTTCTTTTTGAAGTCGGTTAAAAAATACTCTGTGAGATTAATTGAACATGGCATTGTCGGTAGTTGTTTTGTGTAACGCCTTTGAACCTTTCAAAAAAAGGACTGATGCTTTTCATGGTGACGACGGATGCCCCCCGCCCTTGCAAAAGGGTTCATCAAATCCTTACCGAATAAAATCCACCGAGGCGTTCTGCTGCTTATGGGGACGCGAAGCACCATTGCATTCTCTCGCTACTCAAATAGAAGTGAAGTCCGATGCATGACGATACTCTTTACCTATCAGCCATACTCTTCTCTCTTGCTTTCTATGTATACTTGTCAATGAACTGTCAACGGTTATGAAGCCGTTATGAAGCCTATGCTATATGGCTATGACTATAAAGCCGATGAGTGTTGGATCCAACGTTGGACAAAAATTAGACAGAAAATATTAATTTGTTGTTTAGTGTGTTTTATTTTCAATATTATTTATTTAGATTGTATTGCCTATCATTCTAAACATCGGTACAAAAAAAACAACGTAATTTTAAGCTCATCATGTTTAATTCACTGGTTAAAAACATTTTGATTAACAAAACAAATTATTATTTAATCATTTTGAATGATAGTACGACGTTGGCTCTAGCGAATTCCTGAGCACTGGGTTCATTTTTTGCAATAAAATCAAGCTTTCCCTTTTCGAATGGCCAAATGGAGGGGAATTCTTCGTTGAATGTCAAATTCATCATATGGTATCTTCCCTAAAAATTGAACAGAATTTAATGTTTGACATTTGAGCATAAGGTAAACCTAAAAAATATGGTGGCTCTTGACTTGTTGAGTTAAACCGAATTGGTGGATGGTTAACTGAAGGTTAACTGAATGTAGCTTTAAAAAAGTCGCTGGCAGCGGATGCATAGACTACCCAAGACTGGGATAGTTGGCGCTCTATGGGAAAGCCTTCGTTTAGCAGTAGATAGTGATAGGCTGAAGATGATGATGATAATAAAACTAGAGATTTAAAGTGATAAGAAAACGTGAAAGTGATATTTACCGCAGGTAATGGACAAACAGTCATTCCACTTCTTCTAATCACTGGTCCAAAAATCGTGTCTTTAAGTATGAGGTCGCAGATTTTATAGTGCATCTCAACAAATGATGGTCTGTACTCATTGTGCAGGTACTCATAAAAGATCAAATGTATCTATAAATAGAAAGGATAATAGATAATTTTTAGAATTATTAAAAATGTTCGATTCTAATATAAGTCATTTCAAACAAGGATTACTGTAGGAATCTACGAAGATACCAAAATATTAAGACAATTAATGAATGAACAAAGCCTCTGGCCGCTACCAAATGGTTGTTGTTGAGAAGTTTTACATGTACATTCAATGTGTTAATAAATTTGACATACATGCCATTTCTAGATCGATACAAAAAATACAAAAAAGTAATACTTAAAAAAGAACTGAGTACAGTACCTATTAGTAAAACATACAACAATACTACAAACAATAGTAAAATAATACTACATAAATAAAAAAGTGAAACAGATAAAAATTGAAAACCAGCGTCAGGCTTCCATCTGACATAAGGCTGAATTGAGTCCGTTTTTGGCATCGTTGGTAATCCAAGTTGCAATTGTTTAAAATGTTGTATTATTGCCAAAATAAACGATTTTTCTTTCTTTCTTTCTTATAAAACAAGATAGATATTTTTATTTTGATTCAGAAGAAATATGTAGAAAGAAAGAAAGTAAAGAGACGCCTATGTCCAGCAGTAGACTATTAAAGGCTGTTTGGTGATGATGATGACATAACACTGATGTATATTTTAGAAAAATTCTGTTATCAAAAATATATTAGAGGAGTTAGAAATATAAACCCATTTTTTAGTTTCTTCTTCTAGCTTTATACGTTTACAGAAATTTACAGGCAGACGCCTGTGTATGCTACTTATATGTTTTTAAAAGCATAGACCGGTCTATAATGTATATAGTCTAAGTGATAATAAAACATTCAGAATTGTATGACCGTTTTACGTGTTTATATGTGATCCAATTTTTCATAATTAAAGGTTAGTTTAAATTAAAGGTTTCTGTAATAAAGGCTCTGTCTTACCGATACATTATTATTTCCCATGCCATGTTTAGACGTAAATTCAACGCTGAGTGCATAGTCACTATTTCTTCCATTTCGTCTCGTTTTTAATACAATATTATCTACATAATTGGTGTCATATTTACCCACGGTAGGGATTCCTGGTATCATTTGCAGCCTGAAACACTGTAATATCCTACCTAAATTTTTTAAAGGAGTCAGGACAGTTCATAATAAAACCGCCACAAGCAATCACGGTGCCTCATCGGATGTTTTTAAAAAAGGTGTATTAACAAGCCAATCATTGAAAAAAATACTTAAAAATGTATGGGTACACAAGCGATTCTAATGTTTATATTTTTTATAACTATACCCAGTGTCACTCTCGCAATTAAGACGAATCAAACGACACCTCCCAAAACGATTATACTACAGAGCGTGCGAAAGAAATATAGGTATTTTATTAATACATAAATAATTACTTACACTACACAAATCATAGCTTACAAAAATAACGAATCCGATGAAATGCAAGACTGGCGACTTCATTGGCAATGAATATACAAGATCAAATTTGTCCATGTTTTAGCAATTTAAGTCGTATTTATAAAGCATTTATTTATGCTAAGTGATTATACACAAATAGTTTATCATTAATCGTCGATTTAATCACTATGCGCGTGTCACTTGAATAAAAAACGCTTAAAATAATATATTCTTTTATCAAAAAGGCACGTGTAGTTTGTTATTTTTTTATGGTATAAGGGGGCAAACGAGCAGACGGGTCACCGCAGATGGCAAGCAACTACCACCACCCATGGGAACTTGCAACTCAAAAGTCACAAGTGTGTTGCTGACCTTGGAGGAGGCCTTTGGGCTCCAGTAACCTCACTCACTCAGTGAAAGGCAACGAAAGAATTGCTTAACACCGGTTTTCTGTGAGGCCGTGTTATCACTTCGGTCGAGCCGGTCCCTTCGTGTCGAAACATGGCTCGCCCGCATGGTTTTGTTGGTATTAGTGACATGCCGGATATCTCTGACTATTGGAGGTAGAAAGTAGATCTTTATCCATGCACGTATCCATTATTTTACAATTCATTATTACGTTTTTGAATTTTTAAATTTATTTTGCTAAATTTAAATGATATTCATCATAATAATTATTTAAGGTTAGTAACGGTCGATCCTAGAAGTAGGTAGTGGAACTCTTTGTTATTTCATTTCGTTCGGTGTTATTTTTTTAGCTTTTCTAAACTAGTAGGGATAGCATCGGGACGATTATGAACAGTGATATCTGATAGCAATAGGAATAATGATTATTAATGAAACCACCCTAAATAGATATAACATATATGACAAAATGTTGATACGTATCTTGGTATTAGAAAACCATTTAAAATGAATGTGCAGGTTCAATTTATAAAATAGGTATAATATATATATATATATATATATATATATATATATATATAGGTATGGTATAGTATAGGTATAATTTCACGATAGTTCAATAGCTCATTTATTCAAATATATATTTTATTATATGGTATAATACGAGTATATGTAGGTAGGTATAGGTATAATTTCACAACAATTCAATAGTTTATTGAAATGTGAAATCCATCGTTGCTAACTGAAATCACAAACGTTTTACGCCCAATGCCAAAATGTGGTTTAATTGGTATCAATTACTCGGTATTCCAAGTGATTCATAATCACTGGTGCTTTATGGTATTTTAATTTACGTCCAACGGCCACAAATTGACAAACACGAATGATCTTTATACATGCTACTAAAACTATTTATCTGTCAAAATATTTAGAATACATATAGGATTATGTCCAGCATTATGTCCAGCAGTGGACTATTTGTTGATGATATAGGTATTCAAGGAACACACACACCAGTTTTACGAAATATAGGAACTTATATCTAGGATCATTCTTCGTTCATTCTTTTATTACGAACTGTCCATCATTCAAAATATATAACTTGCATTGATTTGTTCTTGGCAACATTTTAGATTATAAATGAAAAAAAGGTTATTGAACCATCAAAGTTACGTTTTCATAAGAGTTCCGTCTCCTTAACTAGGTTGATTACCCTGTATCTTACGAGTCAGTCCCTTCCTTAACTGGAGGTACAGGGGTTGTAGCAGTGTTTACAATTTGTGCAGTGAATTAAATAATTGAAAAAAAAAGAAGATAAATAAGATTGAATTTAGGTAAATGAATCAGGAGATTAACTATCTACAAGTTCTATCTTTTAATCTACCTACACCACAAGAACCGATCGCATTTATAAATAACTACCAAACATCGATTTATTTAAAGAAACGGCAAAAAGAAACGTCTTACAGCACAAATAAAGGAATAATTCCAAAAAATAAAAATGTTGAAAATTAAGATAAATTTTGGTGCTTACAAATTTCCTCGAAAATCTACGTAAAATCTGGGTAGGTACGGAACCCTCGGCGCACGAGTTCGACTAGTACCTGACCGGTTTTTTTTTTCAATTTAGTTACTAATATATGTAACGAGCTTTAGATCGTCTTCATAGCACCATGAAGAATTAGTAGCGCAAGTTCTTATATGTGCGATAGAAAATGCAGAGTGAAGCCTCATCTCCGATCAAACATCTCCGATCGACTCGATCCCCGAGTCGAGAGATCGAGCCGATCAGAGATGTTTGGGCTATCCACGAATCAAGTCGCTCTTCGTTGGATGCGGTCCAGAGGGAGAAGCTGGTACTGATGTGCCCCTGCATAGAGATGAGAAAAGTAAGTTTTATGCGGCTGAACTTGCGACTTATACAGCTGAAGGCGATGGGCCGGAGTGAAATATTGCCTCGATCTGTTCAGCACACGGAAGCCAATTTGACCTTACCCCTTACAAAATGAGTAATACATTTCTGAACATTTTCTTCCTTTTAGTTTAAAATTGTTCAAAAATTAAAAGATGGTCAAATATGTATGTCTACTAGCAGGCATTGCCCTTCCAGCAGTCAGAAGAGAAGTAGCCTCCGCCATAGAAATATGGAAACAGGAAACTGATTCTAGACACCCATTGTATGGCCAAAACCAAACCACGAAAAGTCTGAAAAGACGAAACAGTTTCCTTAACATAATTCTTGCCGACAATAACGACGCTTCCAAGGCCAGATAAAACATCCCTCCCCCAATTGCGTCCGCTTGACAGAAAAACTACCTCCAGGAGATAAACTCCCCTGACAAACCTGGAAGGCGTTTAATAGGCTGCGTACCTAGGTTGGCAGATCTAAGGACAATCTATCAAGGTGGGGATTTATCGACCCAAGCACAAGTAAATGCGACTGTAGCGTATCTCCACAGACAATAGGCCACTTGTTAACATGCCCCGCTAGCGCAGATTCGTGTACGCTTGATAACTTGTATCAAGCAAAGCCAAACGCGATTCGCGTCGCCGAGCACTGGGCGAAAATCGTGTAAAGTGTTGCCATCGACACGATAAGTAAGTAAGTATGTATGGCGTGCAAAAGAATATAGCTAGAATGATTATGACGCAAAACAAATATCTTGCGCGCATTCCGAACAAATTTGGAAAAAGTTAAGAAGCTAAATGAGTTAAAACTTTCAACAAATGGTGGAACGTCAATATTTACTTAAATGTTTACGAGAAATTCTAAGATAAATATAATAAAATATTTATAATATCTCCTGAATTTTTTCGACTGAAATTTCAAGTGACAAAACTTTCGTTAGCTTACGAAAACCTTCGTCACTCATGACGTCGTTTGACACAGTAAGTTTATATATAATTTAAACAATCTCAAGGTAAAATAATATAAGGTGGCAGTACGGCGACACAATCGAGTATTCTTGCAATAAATGTACTCTAGATTAGAAGAATATACATGCACGTGCTAGATATGAAATGCGTCAGAATGGTTTCTGATTATAGATAGTTCAACTCAGTTGTGCGCGCGGCCCTATGTGTGCGTGGGCTTGTAAATATACAACTTTACATAGGGCCGCGCGCACAACTGAGTTGAACTATCTATACTACTTTTATACGTTCAGATTATAATTTTTGCGATAGGAATATCAATACGGTATATTTTGACAATAAGGATAAAAGACGAGGAAAAGAGTAATGAATGCTTGTATTGATCCGGATTTTCTTTTTTCTTAACAACAGTAACAGATATAAAATGGTACAAAAAAACACGCAGTTTTACTGTTAACATCAAAGTGTTATATAAATAGTTTAAAGAAATTTTAAGTATACCAACATTATTAACCTGTCAGAAGATAAAATTAAGAAAATTAGATTAATAAAGAAAACGATGAAAAACATTCAGATAAGCGTAGTACGCAAAAGACAATTTTCCTATAAACTATCAAAATTCAGAGGTAAGGGAGCACCTTATACTATACGTTAGAGTATTATAGTAAATGAATTGACTGCACGGGTGGCGTAGTGATTAAGGCTTGCTTCCTACTGCGGTGAGTGTTATAGGTTTCATCCCCACATGGGACAACACTTTGTGTGATCTACAAATTGTTGTTCTGAGTCAATGTGTTCTTTGTGCTCGTTTCAAGTATGTTTTTAAAGCGGGGGCAATACATCTCATACAATTTCAGTCTGATTAGTTTATTACGTAATATTTATAGACGTCGATTTACTAATATACACGTAAGTTTGAAATAATTGTCTGTCTGTATTAATAAGACAAGTAGCTATACCTGAGGCCATGCTCTGCGCATACCACGGTTACTTATCCTCGGTTTAGCGTCATGGAACAGTCATATGGAGAAATTCTGTAGTTTAATAAGGGCATTCAGATCCCAAAAAATGCATATAAGCGATAAGTAATGCAGATTATACTGACAGCTGCAAACCTTTATTTTTACTTTACATGTATAAAAAACTATCATTTTTTTCAAAAACATATAACAGTCGCAAAAAGAAATAGTAGATTCCCTCATTTCTAAACAACGCACTGCGATGTACAACAAAAACTCATTCTGTATGAATATACGAATTTACAATAAATTGCCGAATCGCCTTAACTATTCAACACGTTTAAACGTAATCTATTTGAATTACTTCCAAGCTGCGTATGGCTTCCATGTTACAGCGCTTGCGTAATACCCGGAACAGCATCCTGAAGATGATTGCTAGTAGGCCAGACTGTCCTATACAAAGGCACTGGGTGGCAATAGCAATAGGAAAGCATAGTTGAATGCCTTTCTACTATTAAGTGTCGTTACTAACAATACTAATATAGACGTTAAGTTCATTCTGTTTCTAACCCATTACTAAACAACCTGTATATGTCTGAAAATAAAATATTTATTGTTGTTATTATTATTATTCAACTAACAAATTTCTCAATGACAAAGAAATTTAAAAGAAACCAGCTTTTACCCGCGACTCCGTCCGCATGGAGTAAGTCATTTGGGTAGCATTTTTTTTTCCAATCTGCTTCCTCATCAATCTGCTGACTGTTTAAATAATATGAAAAAATATATTGTTATATTGATTTGAAAACATAAGTAATGTATACAATGAGAAATAAAGTAAACAGGTTAATGAATGAT